CCAATGATCTCGACCAATTAACCGGCCCTGAGGGCCTTGCTTCCCTCATTCCATCCTCCACAGAAACATCCAAGCAGCACCCTTCCACAACTAAGAACCAAATCTACACACTACAATCCTTACTCGCCGCTACTATTGCCGGTGAAGCCAAATTAGCCAGTGTGGATATGCGCCGCGACGGACCCTTCGCTAAAGAAGCTCAGCGGTATTATCCAGGCGACTGGTACCGCGGCGGGAAGGTCGATGATATCGCCGTTGTGGTTGTGGTAGCGGTAGAAGAGGGTTATGGTCAGTCGTCATAAGTGGTTCAGATCGGAATTGGCGTTTTCAAGGGGATTCTGTTAATACATGTCTTTTTGTCCCCTTCGGAGGATCAACACATACCCGTATTTATATTATTCATATATCTCTGAATCTGCATCATTTATAGGATTTGGGGACTGGGATGGTTGGGTGTTTGATACGCCATGTTAACACTGATATTTATAGAACGATAGAGTCGTGCGTGGACCTATTAATAATATCGAGGTATATAGATAAATTGACTAGCAAGCATGATTAGAGAGATAAACCTTGAAAAATGGCTTCCTTTCACTCACAAAGTGCTTCATATCAGTGGGGAGCTTAAAAGTGCAAGGAAACACTCCGTACAAAAGGTAGCTAGAAGGAAGACTGAGTATAGTGCCTATCTAGTACACTCAGTTCTACTTTCACTTCTCTCTTTTCTTATACCAAGGGAAAGGGAAGGCAACGAGATGAACATCAGCATTAATATTAAACAGGTCTAAGCAATACACTTTTCTATATGTATGTATGTACGGAATACAGAAAGCAACACAACATAGTAAATAATTGACTGGCCGGAACATGCTTGGATGACGATTCACGGGGAACCTTCAATAAGTTAGTAACTCCTCTTTCGCTGCACCAGATATTTCCTTTCCCCCATTCTATCACTACTAACATATCTTAATTCAGCCCTCCGCTTGTCGCAATAAAGTCAGACCGATTTTGCAATCGCGGGGTTTCTATACATTGCCATCCTTTCTCTCAGGTGTTACTGTTGGCTTTGTTATTGTGGCACAAGGTCTGTCAACCAGTCATTCATTCATTCGTTCATCTCACTGATTCAATGAATTCCCGCCTTCCTTGAGGCCCATTTTAATTTGGTTGAATCATGTGCTAAGGAGATTTGCCAGGTTACTTCTACACGACCAGACATTGATCGTCGCATCGGATTGCCTTGATTGGGTTGCTTTTGCTTTTTCTTCCCGCATCAATTAGGTATAACTACGAGGCGTGGGTTCGCGCATTGTCTCATCTCTATTTACCATCGCTACGGAGATCTAGAGTACTCGAAGCCTTGTCGCTTTATCTAAACCCTCCGCTGCAGCTATATCAGCTGATTGTGCGTTTGACGGTTGAGATCATCGGTCGCCGTCGCGCGTCATTAATTCTTCCATCATCACTACCATCGTTACCATTACGCGATTCCTTCACCGGTCGCGCGTTTTGAGTCTATTCAGATCTCGAGCAAGCTCCTGGGATTATCAAGTTCTGTGTTGCCTTTCCACTACTGGAATCGCGTCCCCGTCCGAGAACCACTAGTTTCGTCCATGGACGAAACTTAAGCGGTACTATATTTGACTGCCGACCAACTTGAGAGGCTAAGAAGCAACGCTTATCGCGAGTTGTGGAATTTCCAGCATCATTCCATTGTGTTGTTGTTGCCGTTGAGCGTTGCGTCATTCGCGGTTTGGCAGCGCTTTTTTCCCCCGGCAAAAGGCAGTGCACGCGTTGTCAATCAACTTCCCGCCTCCGTCGCGACCTTCTCCACCACTTCTTCTCCCACATCCACCTCGACCTTTCCAACACCTCTTCCATTGCCACCCTTTAGCTCCCGCGAACTTCAGGTGGAGTTGTTTTTCATCTATTATTTATTGAGCTTTGTCGCGCACCATGGCCGAAGATACCCCTGCCGCCTCGACGCCTGCCGCTGATGAGTCCGTCGAGCGCGCTCCTGCTGAGCTGAAAGAGTCAACACCGGAGGCCTCCAAGGAGAAGCAAGAGAAGGCCAATGGGTCGGAGGAAAAACCATCTGGTAAGCAATGCATATTTCTCGCTTTTCTCCCTCATGTTTCGAAAGTGCGTGTTTTAGCATCTGACGCTGATCCGTGCTGCCTGGTTTTCCTTAGGAGATGCGACTACCTCCGAAAAGAAGGAATCAGATGAAGCATCGGCTGAGAAGCCCAGCACGTCCGAGTCTGTTGACGCGAAGAAGTCTGAAGAGAGTGCTGCACCTGCAGAGTCAGAGGCTGCACCGGCCCTCGAAGCTAACGGAACCCCCGCGTCGGCTAAGAAGTCTGGAGGCTCAAAGCGCAAATCTACCGGCGCTGTACCGGAACACAAGTCTAAGCTGAGCCGGAAGAAATCTCAGGCTCGTATCACCAACTTGCACGCGAAACCAGGCGAGTACTACCTTGCGCGCCTTCGCAGCTACCCGCCATGGCCATCCATCATCTGCGATGAAGAGGTTCTCCCACAGACTCTTCTTGACTCACGTCCGGTGACCGCTCAGCGACCCGATGGCACCTACAGGGAGGACTACGCCGACGGTGGCAAGCGTGCTCACGAGAGGACCTTCCCTGTTATGTTCTTCGAGACGAACGAATTGTGAGTAGCGTATTTGCTTTCCCAGCCTTCCGTGCGCGTTTCGGCTAATGACATCAACAGCGCCTGGATTCCTAACACAGACTTGACCCCGATCGACCCCGCCGCCTGCAAGGAAGTATCGGAGAAGGGCAAGTCGAAACTGCTTTTGGCCGCCTATGCTGTGGCTGCTGATGGCCATGATCTTCAGCACTTCAAGACCATGTTGGCCGACCACCAGCGTGCGATCGAACAGGAAGAAGAAGACCGGGAGGCCGAGGCGGCCGCAAAGGCAGCTGCCAAGGCTGACAAGGAGGCTAAGAAGAATAAGCGGAAGAGCATGGAAATCATTGACGACGAGGATGTCGATATGGAAGATGCAGACGAGGAGGCCAAGAAGCCCAAGAGCTCAAAGAAGAGAAAGAAGAATGCTGAAGTCGATACTGAGGAGAAGGTCAGTGAACTGACACTCCCGGAAAGTAATGTGCTCAGAGTACTAATGCATATTTTCTTTTGGTCTTTAGCCTGCTAAGACACCCAAGACCGGAACGAAGCTGAAGCTTACAACCCCGAAGACTCCAGCAAGTGAGAAGAAGGCCCCTGCCCCGAGCAAGGCCAAACAGTCTGCTAGCAGCAAGAAATCCGGAAAGGCTGCCGCCAGTGACGATGGTGAAGAGAGCACCCCAGCAGAGCCTAAGGAGCCCGAAAAGAAGATCAACCCAGAAGAAGCTAAGGCCAAGAAAGAGAAAGAGAGTATGAACCCCCCAGTGCCCAGGTATCCGTATGTAGAACTTGGACTAACGAGGAACAGTTCTCTTTGTTCGCCATAAGCTGCAGAAGGGCTTCATCTCTCGTGATCAGCCTCCCCAGGAAGAAGAAATGACCTCGATGTCGTCGTATTTCACCAAGTTGGAAAACTACCAGGATCTGGAGGTTTCCATCATCCGCTCTACCAAGATTAACAAGGTCTTGAAGATGATTGTCAAGCTTAGCTCAATTCCGCGGGACGAAGAATTCCAGTTCCGCCGCCGTGCTGTGGATCTCTTGTCCAAGTGGAAGACTGTGCTCGACGCAGATACCACACCAGGCCCTGCAGAGGATAAAAAGAAGCCCAAGGCTAATGGCATCCACAAGGAGGACAGCGTCGATACTCCCGCCCGTGGCGATACAGAAGCCGAGAAAGAGGAGGAGTCTAAGCCGAGTAAGGCAGAGGCCAAGGACGAAGAGATGACCGATGCGAATGCTAAGGAGAAGACCGATGCCCCGGAGCCGGCAAACGAGGGATCTGAGAAGACCACCTCCAAGGGTGATGAGCCATCAGTTGTAAAGGCAAAGGATTCTGAGGAGAAGACGACGGGGGAGAAAACAGAGAAGACCGCGGAAGCTTCAGCATAAGCCCGAACAGGTTCATGTTTCATGTCGGATTTTCGCTGCTGCTCTGGAGTTCTTTCCATCATGCCGTCTTACCTGCGCTTTTTCCATTGCCTTGGTTTTCAAGTCACTCTGCTAGTATTTTCATTTCTTTCCTGTGATGAGTCCAGTCCTTCCATATTGGGACCGAGCATTGAACTTGGGGGTTCTCAAGAACTACTCATAATGCGCTTGACACCTTCCCTTTGCTCGTCTCTTTTTTATACCTCCTAACATCTCTTTTGGACCCTATCGTACCTGTCACCTGTACATCTAACATCTGCTTATCGGACGCCGTAACAAGCGTCTCCGACTAAAACCTGGAATAGGTATTTCGGCCGACCCGACACGTAACCAGACCAATAGGAAATTTTTGACGGAAGCCTCAAAGAACAGAGACATACCCTGCATTAACCGGTCGGTTAACCATCGGGATTTATGATAGCGAATCGAAGCAACAACATGAGTTGTGAAGTAGCCAGCATATCTCCTCTCTTTTAAAATTATTCAGCGTATGGATGGATGGTGTTCAATTCTCTTGTTTCCTTTCATTACCGTGTCTAATTTTTATTCTTTCCTTTTCGTTTCATCGATCGAGACTGTTACTTGTTTTGCTTGGTTGTATTGTGATTGCGATCGTTTGATCCTGATTGATATTTCTGTTGAGGCAATAAATACTGGTTTTGACTATCCAATATCTTTTCTGAGAGTAAAATGCCATTGCTGATATTTGAACATTTCCCCTGTCAACACCTCCATTCGGGATGAACAGGATGACAATAGGAATGAACAACAGCCAGTGATTGCACTAGTCATCATATATAGGTAGATAGTGTGGCCTAGGTAGGATGAGCAGCGTGCAATTAATATGAGGCTAGAGCGTGCTCACTTGTAATGACCGCGTTTTACATTTGTGATAGGGCAAAACGCGTCATAGAGAAGCCCGGATGGTCTAGTGGTATGATTCTCGCTTGTAAGTTTATCTTGTCAAACAGACCAAATCACATCATAGATATTAATTGTTATGCAGCGGGCTGGCTAAACAGTACCAATTTGCGAGAGGTCCCGCGTTCGAATCGCGGTTCGGGCCCTCACCTCAACTTCTTTTTTGCAATCTGGAGATTGATGATTATTGTGTTTGTTGTAGCCGGGAGGAATAAATAAATATAGCAAGTTCTATTAGAACCTTTGGCTATAACAGACACATGGTCCTCGGCAGTCGCCGTAGGCCTCTGCCTCCAGGTGGTCCCTAGGGACCCTATCAGTCCCTTCTATCTTCTGTATGATCATTCTATTCCTGTTCCTTGCCCGAACCGCCTGCCTGCGCCCAGGGCCTTTGGCTAAGCCCTCCTCGGTGACAAGCATGTTCTATAAAAATGGCGGAGGCGGAGGGAGAGACAATTAACAAAAAAGCTATGATATTATTTAAGGATCCATGCACCTTGGCGGTTGTTGATTGCTTGTATGTTTGTTTGTACATGTACTGTATGTGCATTCTTTCTTTTCTCTGTTGTACGTAGCATGTCTCACATGGCATCCATCTAGCAGTAAGTACTATTCATTCACATTACGTTTACATAATCTGCCCGGATGGTCTAGTGGTATGATTCTCGCTTGTGAGTTCCATATCTAACAATTAATCTACTTGACACGTATACTAATGAGAGTCTAGCGGGCTGGCTCCACAGCACAATATGCGAGAGGTCCCGCGTTCGAATCGCGGTTCGGGCCGTTTATCTTTCATAAATTTTTGTTTATCTCTCTATCAAGTCTTCGTTTTTTGCCCACCAGAAGAATCATTATTAGACAGGACCGAAAATGAATATATCGACCTGCCCTAGAATTCATCTAAATAATGATATTATATTCCTAAACAAAGTACGTAAAAGATTCGAGAGTATATTATCCATCACCAATTCGTCTCGAGCACGCCTCAGTATATCGCGGTCTTTCGGCAAACAACATGCATATCCCCCATAAACAATGATATTCATTTTCCCGCTATCTTCGACAAGGATATGTCTTGGACTTAGATTACCCTCCGTGGAATATAACAATCTGGTCTTAGATATCATGCGGTATAGCAGCACATGTTTCCACATCTTATCAAAAGGGTTCTGCCAAACTCTTGTTGAACTTGACTTCCAACTTGAAATGCAATTCATCATGCTGGTCATCAATGATTTGCCAGTTTAGGATGCCTCTTTAGGAGTGCAGGTTAGAATCCTGAGATATATATCCTTTCAGGCCAAACAGAACTTTCTTAACCTGCTCATCAGACAAGTTATCAAGGATTTGACCAGCTGGACATACAGGAATTGGTGTCCACAATCCGCAACTATGATAAACGAGGGTCTTCTAAGGCATCTCCCACCAGATAATACATGCTAACTGCTCTACTAGACTGAACGTATGAGCTTCAACATGGTACTTCGGCGCTAGAGTTGGAGACGCTCTTCGTAAGTACAAGCTAATAGTGGACTGTGGACTGTGGACTGTGGACTGTTATCGAAAAAGAGAGGGCCACGATTATGATACTCCTGGTCATAGATTACTCTGGAAGAAAGTCTTTGATGCAGGTCAGCAATCGTATATATAACTGTCTGAAGAGTTGGAATAATGATGACACTAAGCGAAACCAATAATCATCTTTATCACATACATTTGAATGTATGATCTCTATTCGCTTATGAGTCGTTTCAACGCTTGCCAACTTATCAGATATGCCTGAAATGCGCTTTCGTTTGCAACTTGGCCTATAATCCCGCAGGAAGCAGCTTGCGGATAAAAGGGCTGCTGACTTTGATTGTTGAACAAGAGATATAAGAAGCCAAATACTCTAAACGTTAGTCTGGTCAGCTTGGCTACCTTATTAGCGCGATCTACCCAAGGGTCTAAGGGTCTCCCCGGGCGGAAGCCGTTCGGGGCGGTCACTCCCGACGCTAATCAAGAGTCTATCCGTGACGGATCAAGTACGTAGTCTCTTACTTGCGTCTAGAAGATCGTTAACCTGAGCTTAGAAGATATGTTCCCTAATCACTCCACTGTAGAAACACGCACGTACTTTCTAACGTTTTCTACTATTGATAATAATATGATGAAAATGGAGGCCCTAGGGCCATGAATCTATTCCTTGCCATATCTTATCTGTAAGCCACGGCTTGCCTTAAGTGACTTATGCATCTTACTGGCGGGCAAAAACATTTGTAAAACAAACTTCATCAATTCATCAATACCGTTGCAAAGCAACCAATATCTGGAGGCTATCGACACAAAAGATCACAGAGGGCTAAATGCATGATCCCTCGCTTCGTCGTCTCTTCTGTATCCATCCCACTGAGGACTTAAGTGCACTTTCCGTGCTTCACAATGTCGTGGGTGTTCCCGTGGCAGGTAATCTTTCGGTTATCGCGGGAGCAGCCCTTCGAGCCACCACCGTTCTGGACAACACGGCGCGGCTCATTGTCACTGCCGCAGTCGGCAAGGTGGTATGTGGCGCCGTTGAAGTGGAAATTGATATTGCAGGGGCTATCAGTGAGCCTGCTCAGAGTGATGCTCTTAGGGCAAGCGGATTGGCCTTCAATCCAGACAACCCAGTGGTTGGCCTGGTCGCCATTTTGGAGCTGCTGGCCATAGCCAATAGGTACGGAAGTTGGAATGGGCGCAGGAACAGGTGCAGGAGTCGCAAGGACAGCCGAGAGGAAAGGAAGTGTAAAGAGGATGCTCTTGAACTGCATTTTGTTGGAGATCGAGGAGACTCGGCTCGGGAAAGAAACAACTGAATGGACTTTTGCTTGTGCTTATGTACCTTGCGGTATGTGGCAGTTAGCTGTGATTATGAGGGTGAAATGAGGGTGTTGACGGCTCCTTTTATACCTTTCCCTCTAACACAATTTTCTTTATCTGGAAATCTCACCTGCGCGAATAGGCCAGCCTGATGCTTGGGCAAAGTCCGAAGGATCCGGGTAGAGCCCCCGGCAAATGAGATCATTCAACTCGAGGAAAGCAGGTTACATTACAGGGTTGCCCTGCTGGGGTATCTTTGCGAGGATTTACTAGCAGCTCTACTGCCATACTTGCAGAAGAGGCGAAGGCTATGCTGACTGCAGATACCAGAAAAAAGGAACAGATCCAATCATAGTCACTCATTGTCCAACAACTAGCGGCGATCACTAATCGAAAGTCGACTTCTACCTTGGACACTTCTACCTACCAAGGGTAAGCCAGGGGCAAGAAGTGATGGCTTAGTCTGAATGTCTCTCGGGGATACTGTTGTCTCCGAACCTGACTCGTGAAATAGTCACACGTCTAGATTAATGGCATGGACACCCTCTCTTAGGTAGGAACGCATGCGGGGAATGGCATCCCTTGCATCTGAGTAAGCTCAGCCTCTATACTTTATGCAGAGACTGGGTAGTCCTTGAAGGAACTGTTGGGCCATGCTGAATGGCCCCCAATCCTGGCTGAAACTCAGGCAAGAAGTATTCTGCGGCAGGCTGGATGCCATTGGGGATTTGACTGGATTGCCCTGCATTGATGGATCAGCACTCAATAATCGGCGACTATTGAAGTGTAAATTTGTAATGATAACAGTTCGTTTAAAAGCCCTGCATAGGGCTTACTGGCCTCGAACCGGCAAGTGGAGTCTAAGTGTCTCTCTGTTGCATCATGTCTCCCCGGTCATAGCTCCTGATTGGCTTTATAAACCTGAACATCACACTTCCGCATACAGCCGCATCCACGGAGTAGTTAGTGCTTAGAAACCTGCCAAGTTATGATCCCACCTCGGCTTTTTGCCCAAAAACCCCATGCTGAAAATCATGCCATCTAGTTTATGTAGATAAGTGTGGCAGATTAAGTCAGCCTTGACCTAGAATGACCGAGAATAGTAACTTAAGAACGAAGTGGTGGAAGCCTTGTAATGCGCTCACTTTTTGAAGGATAGGTTGTAAACTGCAAATGCCAACATGCTAATATCAGCGACTCTAATAGCTTACCTATGGGAGAAAGTTCGTCGAAATACACTCTACTTGAAAGATATGAAACACTCAGTGTTAATGTTGGCATGATTAAAGTAGGGCTGCCTTCGCCACCTTGCGAGGTTTACAAATTTACGATAAAAACTGCAAGCCATATGCAGTATCAGCCTCCTGCACATATCTTGAATATTGCATTTTGCCTATAGCGAAGGGGCCTCAAAGTCAATTTAGGTTTAATAAAACTCTCTAAAACAATGCTATTAGCTGCTAGTATTGACTCAATTTCGGCACCTTAGCATTTACAGACTTAGGGTTCCGAGTTGGCCGTATACATAGTATAAGAGAATAATGGCATAATTCCGGAGTTACGAATATATATCTTCGGCTTTAGAACATTCTTGCAAAGTAATTGATATCTACCTGTTTTTCATGCAAACACTAGTGAGGATACTCTATAAGCGCTCCATGCGTATTGATCCTTCGAATTCCTTTATGATGCCTTGGTAGTAGTTGGGGGCCGAAACATAAGACCCTGCATCAACAACCCACTTCCTGCAAAATGACGCCTATTAGATGCTGTGGTCCACAGTCGCAAGTGAGAGTATGAATAGTCCTCTCCCTTCCTCCTTTCTCTTACTCTGTCTGTGTTCTGCGGTAGGTTCTCTTGAAAACTACTATGCTACTAGTTTCTTTTTAGGACGGGAGGCCATCCAGGTTGTTTTTGTTGGATCGGGCCTACCTTCCCTGGGCTTTTTGTCTTATAGGTTGGGTTATTGCTCTGATTCCATCTATACCCAAGTCACACGCAAATATTCTAATTTATGTAGAGTAATAATGAATGAGAAAATTTAAAAAGTTAACTGTAAACACCGAAGTTCGGATGCCTCCCGTTTTATAGATATTATTTTCAAACGGTTAACAGTTACAAACTTCCACGCCTGATTTCGCTCTGAACGAAGACAGAAGAGTACAAAAAAGAGACAAACATCCGGGACTACCGTTGTCCAAGTTCCGTTTTACTACTGAAATTATGCCCAATCCGTCAATGCGATTTTCTTCCTCCTAGTCGAGTAGGTCTTAACATGGGGTCGCGACGCTTTTGAGCAAGCATGGGTATAAAATCGAAAGCTTTGGAAAGTGGTAGAATGATCCGTAAATACCTGGTCCTTCACGGATGGTAGCCTGATAATCTGATTCACTAAACTAGACACTCACGTTTACCCTCACTAGAGACATGCTGTGTGTAGAGCAAAAGCAGCGGCTGACTTGCCAAGGGCCGAGGCACTGCGCCCTAGTATCTACTTCAGTCCCGTGCGTTTTTACTCGCGGTTCGATGAGTATGATTCCGTCACTTTCCCCAGGACTGGTCGGCTTTAGGCTGCCGTAGCCCAGCAAGCTCATACACCAACACAGCCCGGCTACAAACCACTGAAGCCAGATAACGACCAGCCACGGCGAGCGCATCTTGGACTGAGATGAACAACAAGCTGGATAAGACCATGGCCCCATAAAGAATAGAAATAAATATGGTTCTTCCATCTCTTCGATTTCCGATGGCACGGAGTACAGCGACGGGGTCAGTTCGCGGCTTAAAAATTTAGGAAACCGGTGACGAAATCTCCTCGACAGCGCATCATCCTTTTGAGGAAGTCGTGTGATACGGCGGTGGAGAGTCAGAGCTATCGTTCCTCCGATATGGATGAGCCCGGCAAGGAACGTCCATATGAGCGATTGCGCGGTAACCTCCGTTGC